AATAAACCATTTATCAAACGTTAGGGACCTTTATCTGATTTTATTTTGCAGTGCAGCCAGACATAGTTTAAAAACATAGACAGAGCTGTCAGAATGAGGGGCTGAGTATGGTTATGGAAAAGAATAAAACAGTGCCCCAAATGAACCCAATTTCGTTTAGTGGGATATATAGCTCTTATTTTCTCCAAATGTTTCCCCAAACGTTTAAGTTAGAGCCACAGATCTTCATGCCCATCCTATTCACCAAAGTATTTCTTAGTGCCCAGCGCAGTTCCTAACACAAGGCAGGTATAAAGTGAATAAATTAGATTACTAGATGATTACACGAGGGTAAGACTAAGCTCTCAACTAAAATAAAATCATTTTCTGTGTTTATGTGTCCATGCCAGGATGTGGATCTTGCAGTAAGTTCTGGGAAAATGCATGAGCTATTTACTCATTAATATCAACAGAAGGAACATCAATCTTCCACCTACCCACCCACGCAACAAATCTTTACTGTCTATTATTTAACTGCCAATTATGTTGGCAATGGGAATACAGAGGTGGGATAAAGACTCCAAATCTCTTGTCGGGACATGGTTTTGGAAGAACTTGTAATGGAAGTGCTCCATGTTGCCAAGTGAAACATGGATGTCCATTAACAGTTTATGCTAAGGCAACTGTGATACAAGGTCACACAGCTGAGATTAGGGATCAGCTGTGAAGATGAGAGATTGCAGTACAAGACTGCCTGGCTGTCCAGACGTATGCCTCACAGGACAAAGTAAACGTGGTCTGCATCATTTGGGGGACTCTCCTTTTTTCTGTCCTATGGGGGTAGAAACAATATGTACAGCTCTCAGCAGTACTGATGGGAATCAAAGTCTGGGTTATCAGCTGCCATGGAAGCTGATGAATTGAAAGGACCATGAACTGAATGGTACAATGCTTTGCTATTTGCAAAAGGAAAAGAGGTTATGCACATCTGGAAAGGTGATATAATTGTAATGCAGATGCCATTATTATAGATGTTACTGATGAAGAAATGGTACCAGAGAGGTTAAGTAGCTTTCCTAAGGTCACACAGCGGTTCAGGTAGGGAATTGACACCTGCAGTCAGCATCCTGCAGAGCAAATTGCATGTAAAAGGTACTTAATGAATGTTCTTTAATTACTATCATCCGCAGGTTGGAAAAGACATCAAGGCTATATACTTCACAGGTTAACCAAATCCATTCTGTGGCCTCCTACTAGGAGCAGTCCATATTTGAATCCATCCCCAAAGGGATGCCTGCACTTAACATTTTACTACAACCAGTCAAGATGATGACATACAGCCTCCGTGGTGGCACAAGGGGTTAAGTCTGAGCACTATCAAACTATATGCAGCCACTACATCACTAGCTCGATCTCTGGCCAGGGAACTGACCCACATGGCATAGCAGACCTCTCCTGTCTCGCCCGCTGCTCCCCTCAGCAGTGTATTTCAGTCAATCCTCCTGTTCTGCTCCCCACTCTGTCTCTGGTGAATCCTCTCACTCCCTACACCTCTGGCCTATATCCCTGCTCTTATATACATAAATAAATAAAATAAATCTTTAAAAAAAAAGATGATGACAATAGCTCCTATTTATTTAGGACATTGAAACCTGGTCTCTGATTATTTTGATTATTCTGATCCTCACCAACAACCTTTTTGAGGTAAGTGCTGCTGTTCCCATCTTATAGGTGAATAACTAAGGAATGGTGAGGTCAAAAGACTCACTTTCTGGATTGAACTGTGCTCCTCCCCAAAGATATGTTGCAGTCTTACTACCCCCACTTTTACTACCCAGTGTGACCTCATTTGGAAATAGGGTCTCTGTAGATACAATCAAGTAAAGATGATATTATTGGGGTGGGTCCTAATTCAATGTTACTGGTGTCCTACCAGAAGACATAAGCATAAACAGAGGGAAGACATGGTAGAGACACAAAGCTAGAGGTGGAAGTTGCTGGGTCTATAAGCCAGGGATTTCTGGAAACCACCAGAAGGTAGAAAAGGCAGGAAGGATTCTCCCCTCGAGTCTTCAGAAGGGGCTTGCCTTCCTTCTCCCTTGGCTGACTGCCTTTGCCCATCCTCCCTGCCTGAAGGTAGTAACTGAAAAATCAAAATGAAAAGTCACGTCTACAGTGGTTTCTGGAACCTCCACTCCCAACTATATGAGGGCCACAGGGGCAAACTGGGCCATGTCAGTGGCCCCTGTCGCGGACAGAGAAACTGTCTCATTGCACATACTTGTGGTATGCAGCCCTCCGACATGTGATTTGAGACACTATGAGCTTAATAATGGTTTGAATTCTAGCAATATTTATAGGGGTCCCAGTGGGGTATTTTCTTGAAAATAAATGGTGCATGAATCTGTTCTAATGTCTGTCCATACAGTCCCAGATGTTGGACCACACTTAAGATGGGACACTTGCTCAGAAGGTATCCAGAGTTAACAAAAACAATTCACCATCCTGCTGAAGGAACCTGTTCTGTACACGTGAGTCATAAAGGCGAGATGTAAAGCCCCGCCAACTGGGGGACATTGATTGGGAGTCTGATGTGTAAGCTCTGTTCCTTTAATGATGAATAAGTTGGAGTCACATTTTACCCTTTCAGCAAACTTGCTGAAGAGAAGCTTACCACAGCACTAGTAAATAGACAGGCTCGCCTAAATTCAGGGACATTTCTTTCTTTCAGCTCATACTTATGTTGCGTGGGTCAGCACTGAACTCTGGAAACCCTCACGGGAAAGTGACATTTTTCATTCATTGTCATTGATTTTCCAATTGCACTTAAATTGCGTTTATCTTTTTTTGGAACTGTTTATGTATTGTGGCTAGAAATGCTTAATTCAATGCCTATAATTGTATACTTATTGCAACTTAACAAAAACCCAAATGAAAAGATCACGAGCTTGAAACACATTTGTCCCCACAATAAACCTTAAAAATGGAATAATCCATTATATTATCACTTTGATTTATAAGGAGAAACTTGCAAAACATTTCCCATCAGTAAAAAGAGAAGCTGAGATGGAAAAATCACTGTATTTGAGCTTTCCCATGTAAAAAGACTTTGCAAGTAACTTTGGGAGAATTAGGGGTTACAGGAAAGCTGGAGAGTGTATGCATGAGTGTGTGTGTGTGTATGGGAGTGTGTGTGAGTGTGTACATGTGCACACATGCTGGGTGGGGAATAGATAGTCATTATTTGCCTCCAAAGAAGGTAACAATCAGGTCATCATAAAAATAGGGAGAGTTGGTAAGAAAATGGGAGACAAAATGAAGAAGTGGACTCATATTATTTTTGAAATAAATCAATTTTCCAAGAGACAATCCCATTTTCGACGCAAATTTCATTATCTCCCTCCCTCCCCAAAACTTCCCATTTCTAGCCATTGTCACCAACCTCTGAAGTATGATATCTTCCTGTCATTTCCACACATTTCTGCCTCCATACCAAACCCTACATTGTTAGGAGTTTTAGGAAGCTCAAACTGTGCCAGGTGGTGAGGATGTCAATATGCCTATGATCTCAGTCTCTGTTCTCAAGAAATTTACACTAGGGCAGAGTTGCCCAGTAGGACTTCCTGGGATGATGGAATATTCTATGCCTGCAGTAGTTACTGGTCATATGTGGCTATTGAGCACTTAGAATGTGGAGCATTTAAGAGAAACTGACCTTAACGTTTTAATTTTGATTACTATAAATTAAAACTTAAAGATCTGCATGGGACTAGTGGTCAGGACAGCACAGGTCTAGACCAGAGGACGGGATATTCGTTAAAGAGACAAATGGCAACTACGGAGACACGCGACAGACACTGTAGGAGTGTTTGTAGGCAAATGAGTCGGAGGCTGGACGAAGAAGACTGTGAAGGACCGAGGTGGGAGATGGTTCCTTGGAGGGGGGACCTAACCCAGAATTGTTGAGAAAATAGTGGGGAAAAGCAGAAAGGCATTGCTGATCTGGGGATTAGTTTAATCAGAAACATTGACGGGAAAATGCAAAGCCCGTTCTGGAAACCCACCAGGTACCAACGGCAGATTGTACTGTGGAAGGTCAAGGGTGACTGCTGGGGTCATGTCTGTGGGATGGTGTCGTGTAGGAACTGGAATTCCAGGATGGAGGCAGAGTTAGGGTGGATGGAGGGGTGATGGCAGGAGGGAATCCCCATGTCTTTTTATGTGCTATGTTTGAGGGGTCAAGATACCCCAATTGAAGGTGACCTGCTGTGAGCCACGGGGTGGACCCAGAACTCAGGGAAAAGGGCAAGTCAAAGTAGGCACAGGAGGAGGTAACAGCAGGGAAAATGTCTCTGACCTGCCTCGACTGGACTGTGCCACCCGCTCCTCGCCACTGTCACATCTGCAGTGATTGATCAACCACCTGTGGAAATTAGGTCCCGAATTTCCCAAATTTCTGATTCTCAGAAAGGTTGGCAATTGGATTTTTTTTAAAAAAAGAAATATGAAATCTGAATAGTCTGCTATGGCAGCTTATTAGAAAACCTTTATGACATCCTGGGCCAAGCCAAAGAGCAGGGGTGTGGACAGCCGAGGTGACAAGAGCAGAGATGAAGGAAGAGAGAGAGTCCAGGGGGAAACTGGTGAGCATGTGAGAAAGAAAAGCAGTTGAAACTACTTGAGTGTCCTTAACCTTGGATGGGGCTCCTTCCTGCCCACTTCCTTCTTCCTCCCTTGCCCCCCTCCTGATGGAGCAGAGGAGTCCTGGGGAGGACAGCAGAGTGCAGGATCAGGCGGGGAGCAGAAAAAGTGGTCGGCGAAGAATCAGGCGCATGGGGTGGAATGGACATAGAATGGTTCCAGAAGATGTGGGCTTTTTCAGTGTGTGTGTTGGGATCAGACGATATCCCACAACCCTTTATAGATTTTCCGCCCAGCCACGTGTCAATATCTCCTTTTGGCCTTTGCCACATCCAGCACCACCTTGTCCCTGGTGTGCAGCCGCCGTTGATTCCACTCACCTCCCGGTCCAGCAGTGCGGGGGACACAACGGTCACGATGTCTCCTTTCTCAGGGTCGATGTAGAACATGTTGGGAGACGGTTTGTCAGGCGTCTGCTGGCGGATGTTATATCGCAGAAGGGCATTATCTGTGGCCGGGTCATCTGCGTCGAAGGCTGTCACCCGCATCACTGTGGTGCCTAAGGGGGCAGGACAAAGGACAGGAGAGGGTCACAGGGGGTGACAGTGCTGGGCAGAGCTGCTCCCTCCTTCACCCCGGCAATGGCAGTGGAGTCATGTGCCAACCACTTTCCAAATTTAAAAAGAAAAGCCTCATGGAGCTTTCTTTGACCTTCCCTCCCCAAACCATCATGTTAAAAGACCCGAAATAAAGAAATCTTTGCTGTTCAGCAGACTGACAGCTTAATTTTTGTCTTCTGAGATATGCTGTTCATTTTCACGGACTTCCATTCTACTATGGATATGATTCTGTGGCAATGGCCTTCATTTTAAAGGCTCTTATTTAACACCTACTATGTGTGGTGTTATGGGCCAGGATTGGGGAGCTAGAAGTGCAAAAGGCACAATTAATGGGGTCCAGTGGTCAAGATTAGTAGGAAGGAAAGCATAGAAAAGGTAATAGCATCTCTCAGGGACATCCAGAGAGGGCATTATGAATAGAGAGAAGAATCAACTCATTTAATCTGGGTTCAGAACAGCCCCTTCCACAGACACCTAAGCGATGTGCAGGTGTGAGCAAGGTGAGGACAAGCACCTCAGTGGGAAAGGCAGTCCTGTAAAGGGCAGCAAGAGCAAAGGTGAATGGAGACGCACTGTCTTAGGCACTTGGAATGTAAAGCTGAGGATGACACCTGGACCCTTCGGGTGTGTGAAGGGTGGGTGAGGGTGTCAGATACTGGGTGTTGTCCACACACGGCTGCGATGAAGAAGTGGCATAGACACTTCAAGAACAATGAAGCAGCAACTAGTAAAAACAGAAAGCACTAATTCTCTACTCTCTTAGCATCCGCCTTGGAGAAAAGCTCGCACATGTCTATAGGAGCTTTAACAAGGATTTTCGCGGCAGGATTATGTATCAGAGTGAAAAATCTGGAAACAACCCGACTGTCCAACAACAGAGGACTTGCTGAATGATGGTATCACCACACCTTGGTATTATTTTTAAAGAGGTCGAAGACCTAACATGGAAGACACCCAAGGTGGAGTATTATGTGAAAAATACCAGGGGGAAGATGTTATCCATAGCAAGATGTCATTTTTGTGACCTGCTTGCACACAGACAATTCCACGATGCTTTATGTGTCTATTTTACAGGTATGATTTCTGTCTGTGAACTCACAGAAGGTCAACATAGGTGAACTTCACACTGGTTATGCTGAATAAATCTGGGCAAAGACGGAGCTGGGGGTGGTCACAAGGGCAGATGCTGGCCCTGTCTGTAATATTCTGATCATTTTTACAAGGAGAATGCTCTGCTTTTGCCATTAAAATTTGATTAAAAAAGATCATAGATTCAAGTACGCATAGAAGCGTGATCAAAGCAGAACCAGGCACATTTGCTTGCTGGTCTTGGCAATAGTAAACCCTCCTATTTAGCTCAGGGTGACCTGCCTGACCATGAATTTTTATTGCAATTTACTCTTCTATGAATACAGGACCCCGCTTTCTGACTCTGCACCTTTCTGGACCCACAAAATGTTAACCAACTGGTTAGAGACAAAAGCAGTAGACTTGTAGATCCTATTGAAGATATTCACATGAAGAAAATAAAGAAGCTTAAAAGAGAGAATTCATCAAGCTCAGTAACCATCCAGTATGACTTTCCCTTATATAACAGTGCTTCTCAAACCATCTACGCCAGTTCATTTCCCTCCACAATTAGAATCATATTATCAGCCATTAGGTCTGATCGATTGGGCAAAGAAGGGGGATCTGACCACCCTACGATTGGATCGATTTGTTAAGTAGTCTCTGTTAACTTCACCAGTGCTTCCGTTAAGTCAGATGCATCAAGACACATTTGCTACTCAACCTCGTTTCATCCTTTGCTTCTTTGTAAGATTGTCATAGGACAAAATTCATCGTCCAGTGTGAGTGGAAATTCTTGCCATGTGCGGTCCCCTGGTCTTTAGAAGATATCAACAAGCCTTTTGGTTCTCCATTTCCTGTTGAATCATGCTATACAATTGCTCTGAGGTCCAGGTGGCCACTGCCAGTCCATCAGCATCTAGAAAATCAGCCCTGTTTAGAGGGTTTATATCAGAAGTCAGAGGCAAATTTTAGAGCCACAATCTCATCCAGAGATTTTCTTAGTGAGTTCTTTGTGGCCAAAGGAGAGAAGCAGACCTCTACCCCAGTTCCACATGCAACAGTCTCAGGTTAAGTATACATGACCCAGTGCCTTACCCTTTGTTCATGTCTAATGCATGTTTGACTGATGGAATCTGTGCCCTATTTAATCTGCCTTTAATTGAAGTCATAGATGAACAAGCAAAAGTATACAAATGAAGTCATCACAGCTTGAGGCTGCCATATGCATTAGAATGATTACGAGGAGAAAAAAAATGAGCTCTCCAATGGATGAATCTTCAGTTTTTCACCAGGAAACTCACTGATGTCTTTCTGTTGTTTTTATTGATTTGATAATATAATGTGATAAAAGGTTATCCTGGTATAGTTCCAAGATTATACAAAATGCTTTTTGTTTTAATAAATTGTTGGGGAGCAAGTGAACTTGGCCTTAAGCCTTGATTTTGACTTAACCCAGTTGTGATACATAAGTGGATTTATGTTTAAGGCTCACCTCTCTGGAGAATGAATGTGCCTAAGTCTTATAAACAGGTTTGCAACATTGAAGGAAATGACTTTGGGGTAGGAAGCCTAGATTCAGGTCTTTACTAACTACATGAACTTGGCAAGTTATTCAACTCTCCTTGAGACTCAGCATTCCCAACATGAGGCTATTCATAATACCCTTCTCTTGGTCACTGTTAGGATTTAATGGAATAATAAAGAACTTGGTAGAGTGCCTGATACACTTGTATTCTGAAGAGGTTGCCTTTTATCACCAAATCTTCTCTGGTTCTGAGACTGTCATGGAAGTGCAGGTAATGGCCCCAGACAAAAGAGCTCAGAATTATGTTGAGCATAAAACCTGGTCCTGGGTATGGCCAGATGAGTCTGGTGCTCATCAGCTTTCAGTTGCCTGTCTGAGTTCCAGTCCATCAGGTAGGTCCAACTCTCTGCTCCTTCCAGTCCTTCCCCTGGATACTCTCTTAGGATTTGTATTCTTCCAAGTTCCACAGTGGCTGGATAAACCTTCTCCACTAGTATTCCCTAAATGGTACCTAAGGGACTCTGGTTCCAGGGACTCAGCAGAGAAACATACTTGGGAAACATGCCTTGGAGAAGAAGGTTTCCTCCTGGAGGACTTCTAGGAGCCCTTAATGAACAAGTGCATGTTAAAAATCTCCAACATTTGCAGCGTTCCCAAACTCCTGTTGATGATGGACCATATGAGGCCCTGGGTGTCCAGACTGTGTTTTGTTCATCTGTGTGAGCTCAATATCTGCCACACAGCAGGTCTGCTCTCAAGGTTCTTTGAGCAGGATTGCAGCCTTGCAATTCACAGTTGCTGACTTACTCCATGCTACTTAGAAACCACAAGTAACTTGTCTACTGCTTATCTCTGAGCAGTGGACACAACCAGGCATGCTCACTACTACTTCTGAGCTCTTTTGGCTCTTGCAGGCCCTTGTTAGATTCAGCAGACTCCAGGCCCAAGGCCACTGTTCAGCAGGTAGGTGCCAGGACAGCTGTTCTATTGCCTGTGGATGGCACCTGAGCACTATCCTGAGACCAAGCCCACCCCTGGACTCTAATAGTGGGCTCATTTGTCTCCATTAGCTCAGAAGCTCCACACTAGGGCTTATCTTGTGCCTCTGTGTGCTTCCCGACAGCAGGGAAAGTATAATTATATGATAGACACACATGTAGGTCCTCCACATAATACATTTCTGTCTTCTCCCTCGTCACAATAGTCTCTTAAGTGTCAAAATAAATGATAATCACTCTGTCACTCCCAAAACCAGATGAACTAGTAGTGACACCCCCTCCCCCACAAAGCAAAATGAAAGAATTACAGGCAGCTAGTTCAAAGTCTCAATTCAGTCATCATTTTCCATTTGGAGCACATGCCTGCCAACACGAAGGCCTCTTGGTTGTATTTCCCTAGTGAAAGGAAAGTTCCCTTTGGTGTCCTGACCTTGAAAAGCCTGTGTTTGAAGCTTGCTTCCCTGTGATGGAAGCCCAGTCTGAGCCTTGACAAGAGGAGTCAGAAGGGCAGTGGCTGTTTTCAACCTCTGGGAGAGGTCAGCCAGTCTTGAGAGAGGGAGGTGACATCATTCTCTTCCTGAAAATTCTTCTGCTTCATCCCCCACATTTCCCTCCTGTGATTGAAAGTGCCAGCCTTCTATTTTTTTATCCCATAAGAGAAGATTTCCTGGGGGCATGGCTGCCCAGGTCTGTACCAGGCACCAGGTTTCTGATAGTACAGCTTGGGCGACTGGACACTTTCCAGGGAGATGCGGAATCCGACAACCAGCATGAGCTCCTTGGACGTGATGAAATGGCACGTCCTCATAAAACTTCAAACTTGGAAGAAGAGGAATTGCAGTCTGGTGCCCCCCAAACACCGGCCTCTGAGATGGAATCATGTTAGAGAGGAGCCTGAAGGCTAGTTAAAAACAGCGGTACGTGGATACTTCGATGCACTGCCTACTTAGTTTGTGTTTATTCCCCAGGTGAGGAAAAAAAAAGCCCACAGGTTTTGTTGGCATCTCAATTTGGTGGGTCCATTGAGAGGGACCCAGAAGTGGGTAATATTTTAGAATTTAGCCCCTTGGGGCATATGATGATCTGAAATTTAATTTCTTTTGAAGATTCTTTAGATTGAAGGAATTCTGGGCACACCAGTTAGAGAGAGTTCTAGACATGGGGAGACATTCCAGCCCAGTTTGCCCAGGAAGGGGAGGGATTCCATGCAGTCTTGTGCAAACCAGAATGACCTTGTCACCCTACAGGCAAGCCTTGCTTTCAGATTTAGACATAACTTGTGGCCAAGGCCATAAGTGCCCAGGCAAGAGAACTGTGGGAGTATGAGGGTGGCATCCTGGGACAT